AGGCGGTGGCAGGGGGGCCCCCCCACATGCGCTGCTTCCCGAGGCTGGCCCCGCTGCAAGGACAGACGTCAGGTTCTGCCTCCTGCATGGCACAGAGCCTTGGAGAGAAAGCAGAGGCTGTGCCCCCTGCGCAGTGTGTCCACCCTCTGCACCTGAGTGACTCATAGCCTGAACTGTGTGTGTGTGTGTGCGCGCGCACACGTTCGCGCACGCGCGCACGCATGCATATTGACCTGATTTTTGGCCCTCCATGAAGTTCTCTTCCATCCTGAATCTGGAGTAGGGGTCTGGAAATCATAGCAGGTAGCTAGGAGCAGGCTGGTAAGCTGCCTCACCACTACCCTACCTCTTCCTTATCATACTGACCACATTCGGTCCTTTCCGCAGCCTCACTCCAGCTTTCCTTCTCATCTCAGGGCAGAGGAAGCTACCCTGGTCTTGGATCTCTGTCCATGGGGAGAGGCTGGGAATCTGGAATCTGGCCGGCAGGAGACTCTGTCCCATGGGCAGTTGTGAGATGAGGACCAAGGAAAGAAGGCCGTGCTGGTTCCCAGCCCTCACTCAGCATCAGCCATCATTTGGGAAAAATGCAACTTTAAGTGAAACTACGTGTAGCCAAAGCTGGCTCTGCAGGATGACTGTTCTCTGTTCAGCATCTCAGCATTTCCTAACCAAACGCTACCTGGAACATGTCTGGTTTTTCTTGCGTTTCCATTTCTGATCTTCCATGATGTTGATCCTCTACAAAGGTGTATGTGTGTGTGTGATGAGAGTGAGGGAATGTATCCTTAAAAATACAGCCCAATAGATGTGGTCATCAGGCAGGGTAATTTTGCTCCAATTCTGGGAAGAACTAGATTTGATGCATAGCCTGACTGGAAAGCATAGCCAGCTTGGGTCTAGAAGACTCTTAGGCTCAGACTTTAGACTATAGGGCGTGACGTTAACTATGAGGCCCTGTGGATAGCAAGAGCGATAGCACAGCGAGCGGTAGGGCGTTTGCCTTAGAAGCGGCCAAGATGGCCGACCCGAGTTCGATTCCCTCCAACCCTCTCGGAGAGCCCGGCAAGCTACCGAGAGTATCTCGCCCACACGCCAGAGCCTGGCAAGCTCCCCGTGACGTATTCGATATGCCAGACACAGAACAACAGGTCTCATGATGGAGACTTTACTGGGCCCGCTCGAGCAAAATTTACATATGCCTAGATTTATGTTTTCTCTATAAGAATATAATATTATAACAAAATTGAGTCCACTGCTTATAAGGCTAGCAGTAGCGCTCTCTCTCTCTCTCTCTCTCTCTCTCTCTCTCTCTCTCTCTCTCTGTCTCTGTCCCCTGATTATCACTTTTTATAATCACTTTTCAATGCTTAAAAAAAGTATTGACTTCATAAGAATTTTTTTTTATTAGTGAAACACCATGAGGTACAATTGTAGACTTATAAACTTTCATGCTTGGATTTCAGTTATACAATGATCGAGTACCCATCCCTCCACCAGTGCCCATTCTCCACCACCAATGATCCCAGTAGCCCTTCCAACCCCCATCCCACCTTCATGGCAGGGCATTCCCTTTTGCTCTCTCTTTCCTTTAGGGTGTTGTGGTTTGCAATGGAGGTATTGAGTGGATAAGAATTTTCTTACAGCAAAAAAAAATATTTGGAATGTATAGATGTCTGCATTCAACCATTGCATTTTCAGTTTTAAGTTTTCAAAATAAAACGTATAACCAAGTCCACACCTCTATATTTTTTGGACAGTTTGTGAGCAGAGGTTTATTATTCAGCAACTTAAGTGACTTTCACCCCTTGAAACATCAGCAGAAACTAAGAAATCAGTAGTGAAGACTTGGATACATGGAAGCTGCTTTTTCAGCGAGTAGCTAAAAATCCATGAATTTACTGTTCAGCCAAGCATCTGAGGTCCTCCCCCACATGTCAGTCACCTAATTTCACCCACGGTTACAAACCTCCTTTGGCTGATTTCACGAATTATAGATGGATAAGAAGCCACCATTTACTTACTTAAGCAGTAAAGACAGTCACAGTGCTATTGAAAAGGACATTGAGTCTTAATTGAAAATAAAGTGTTCTTCGTAGTGAAATGCATGGAGTTGTGTCTTTGGAAGAAAGGTTGCGATTATGAGATACAAGTTCTGTCTCTTGGGCTGGAGTGATAGCACAGCAGTAGGGCGTTTGCCTTGCACATGGCCGGCATGACCAAACCAGGTTCGATTCCTCCATCTCTCTTGGAGAGCCTGGCAAGCTACCAAGAGTCTCTCACCCGCACAGCAAAGCCTGGCAAGCTACCCGTGTTGTATTCAATATGCCAAACACAGTAACAACAAGTCTCAAAATGGAGATGTTACTGGGCCCCCTCGAGCAAATCCATGAACAATGGGAGGACAGTGCTATACAGTGCTATAAGTTCTGTCTCAACAGACATGGAATTATGTTGTATTATGATATTCCGTGTTGTTTAAATGTTTTTTTTTTTATTCCTTTCATCAGCTTAGAAAGCACTCTCTTTACTTTGGAAAGCACATTACTTCCCATGTGGCCATCTCTGAAATGCTGACGTGAATTATTCTAGAACGTCATGGTGTGGATGTTTTGGCAGTTGTGCCACAGAGTGGGGTGATGCCATGTGTTAACTTGGTGGCCCTCAAGCTCTTCTAGCCCAGATCCCTTATGGCACAGAGGATTCTCACTGGGAATCTCCAGCCGGAAAACCAAGGAAGGGCCTATGGTTTCCAGAACCTGTTCGCTGTTCTTCTCACTGTCCTCAGCCACATCTCAGGAGCTTTTGGGGGTCCCTGGGCCCCTGTAGAACCTGGTCAGACACAAAGCTCGAGCAAGTCACGAGAAATGGCGAGAAGGGAGGCTCCGAGGTCTCCTCAAATCATAGCCCATCCATGGGTGCTGGCCGGGTTGCTGGTATGGGTTTGTGGGCACCGCAATCCACTCATGGGAGCTTGGGATAACGAGGTAACTGGAATCAGATCAGTTCCTGAGTGCCACTATAACTCTAACCAGCAGAATGACTCAGAACCCCAAGCATTTCTTCTGCAGGTGATGCTAAAGCAATGATTTGCACCAGGGGATCCAGAGGGCATGAGCGAGCGACAGTAATTTGTTTATGGGCCTTCTGCTCGTGGCATTTTGCAAACTACGATGTTTTCATTGTTGCCTGGGTGCTGTTGCTATTGCTACTCTGGCCACTTGTTCTCGTGTATTATTTTTTTCTCTTCCCTCCCAGCTCCACCACCCCCTGCCCCACCCAGAACCCCCACTTCCTCACCTCTTTCTTTTTTTTTCCCTTTAAGCTGCAGAACCCAGACACTTTTCAGTAATGAAGCTAGATGCTACTGTTTCCCTTAATTTTTGTTTCGGGTGAAAATCAATTGATTGTTAGCCTTATTTAATGTTCCAAACCACGTTCTTTCCTCTGGCAAAGGAAAGACAAGAGCTATGGAAGCATCTGCCAGCAGAGCGGGCTTGGCTGCTTAAGTCCCCTAACCATCCTGCCATATGGAACTGCAGTGCAGTCTGGTGGTCAGGGACACTGGGGCCAGCCCACATAGACCAGGGGGCGCCACCCAGGAAGCTCCCACTTCTTTCCTGACACTGCCCTTTCCTCAGGCGTGCTCGACTTTTCTTTCCATCCGTTTATGCCAGCAAGACTTGTTCCCTATCTGCCACAGTCAGATTAGCAGTTAGATCTCAGCCTGGCAGTGCACCAGTCAGAACAGGGCCACTCAAGCGAGCGCTCGACCCTAGCTCCTCTCTTCAGAACCAGGTCTTGGAACCACCGATGGACTTTATCACACTGTGGCTTGGTCGGAACCAGTGTCTTTTTTTAGCGGATAGGGCATTCACCTTGCACGTGGCTGACCCGGGTTCGATTCCCAGCATCCCATATGGTTTCCCAACCACTGCCAGGAGTAATTCCTGAGTGCAGAGCCAGGAGTAACCCCTGAGCATCGCCAGGTGTGACGCAAAAAGCAAAAACAAAACAAAACAAAACAAAACAAACCACAGTTATTCACGCAACTCTGCATTCTAATCCGCCCTTGCCCCAGTGGACTGAACATTGCGACTTTCCAGGGCGTGGGGGGTGTGAGTCTAGCCTGCACCCATTTATCTCTTCCTCGTGGCTGCTTGTTTTCTGTTGCCTTTAGAAAAAGTCATCAGGTGTGTGCATTGAGGTTGGTGTGCCCCCGGGAGCCAGTTGATGGTACTTAGGAGCAGGGGTCCAGGCTTCCTGTGTCCCTGGGAACAAGAATAGGACTTGTTCCCTGGCCACTCTGCATGTGTCCAGGATGAAAGGTGTTGCTGTTTGTCAAGTACTTACCAAAATACCTGGCACACAGAGGGTCATATTCATTTTAGCACCTGCTGCTGTTGTCATGATTGTTGCATTTATTAGTTAAGTGTATAAATTTGACTTACTTTCTCACTTCTGTGGAAGGACTGGGCAAAACTCTAAGTGAATTTAGTGTAGATTTGTACTCAAGCTAGGAATCCTAAAGATTCTGGCATTTTGGCACGTAGATTCTTTGGCATCAGGGAGATCATCGTTGATTTCAGACCCAAGTTTGACTGTTGGCCCTGCGACATACCCCCTTAAACGGGACAAAGGAAGGAGGAAAACTGTACCTACATTGTCAGGTTATGAAATTTGAAAAGAAAAAAATAGAAGAGCTGAGTTCATACTTCATTACACAGCAGCTATTATAATTATTGCATTTGGAAGAGAAAAGTCAAGATCGCGCTGAGGCGTGGACTAATGGAGCTACATGGGGGGTTGAAAACTGACAGGCAAAGAAGTGTATCTGTTTAAGAGGTTAAGGATGACTGTTTCAGGTAAAATTTGAAGTATGTGCAGCAGAAGAAACAGCTGCGGTGTTTGCTTCACTTACGCATACTCTCAGGGAGTTCTTGTGAACGGGCTGTTAACATTTCTTCTTGTCTTCTTGTCTTTTGAACGGAATGTTGCAGAAATCCGCTCTCCGGAGGAAGTGCGCGGTCTGTAAAATCGTCGTCCACACCGCCTGCATTGAACAGCTGGAAAAGGTGAGACAGCACCACTTGCTGCCTGTTTTCAGCGTTGCAACTTCTTGGACTTGGAAAAACCCGTAGTTGATTTCTATTTCGGATGTTCCGCAAACAGTGCTACAAGATGATTTTTTAAAAAATGAGCTTGATACAGGGGTGGGGGGGTTTAGGGGTCGGGGAAACATGGGCAATGATTGAGGGACGCTGATACTGGTGATGGGTTGGGAGTTGGAACATTGTATGCCTGAAACGGTTATTAACAGCTTTGTAAATTATGGTGCCTAAATTAAAAAAAAATTTTAAAGAAGAAAACAGGTAAAGGTAAAGGTAGGTAAAGGCCCTCCCCTTGATCGTCGATTTGCTCGAGCGGGCCCGGTAACGTCTCCATTGGAGACTTTGTTGTTACTGTGTCTGGCATATCGAATACTCTCGGTAGCTTGCCGGGCTCTCTGAGAGGGGCGGAGGAATCGAACTCGGGTCAGCCATGTTGGCTTCATGCAAGGCAAATGCCCTACCGCTGTGCTATATAGGGCTGGAGCGATAGCACAACGGGTAGGGCGTTCGCCTTACAAGCGGCCAACATGGCCGACCCGTGTTCGATTCCTCCGCCCCTCTCGGAGAGCCCAGCAAGCTACCGAGAGTATTCGATATGCCAGACACAGTAACAACAAAGTCTCCAATGGAGACGTTACTGGGCCCGCTCAAGCAAAGAAGAAAACAGTTCCCTTTAAAATATATATAAGTCCAACATGATTGCAAGATTAACAGTGGAAAGACATCAAATCCATTCACTCTGTTGCTTGCTGGAATAGCCTCTTTTTTTTTTTTTTTGACTCTGGGAAATGGAATGATAAGGTTTGATGGGGAAAGCCTGTCATGCACTTATTTTCTTCTTAGAGACTTTGTCAGGGATTACTTTTCACCTAGAGGACTTTCCACAAGAAGTTTTTTTTTGCTTTTTTGCTTTTTTGGGGGGAGGGGTGGTCACACCCGGCAATGCACAGGGGTTCCTCCTGGCTCAGCACTCAAGAATTCCTCCTGGCGGTGCTCAGGGGACCATATGGGATGCTGGGAATCAAACCCGGGTCGGCCGCGTGCAAGGTCGACGCCCTACCTGCTGAGCTATCGCTTCAGCCCAAGCAGTTTTTTCTTGAAGGAAGAAAATTCCATATGCTGTTTAAAAATCACTGCTTGCATATGGCTGACCCGCGAATTTACTCCCTCCTCCAGGGGCTGCAGGCGAGAGAGTCAGGCCTGCCGGTGCTCGCTGGTTTCTCTGAGCAGAGATTCGGCTGCAGCACTGTGGGGTGTGAGGCCTGCTGCTAATTGAGCTGCTGCCAGATCTCCAGAAGGGGTTCTGCAGAGCCCACTGATTTGTCTGTCCTTTGGGAGAAAGGATGGGCTTCAGGGGCAGAGAGTGGTCTGTTGTCTAGCCATTTTCCCCCTTAATTTTTTATTTTTTGAGTTTTAACCTTATTTTTTTGCCCCTCCCCCATTCTTTCCTCCTTTTCTGCTGTGAGTCCTGATGCTTATCTGTCTTCTGAACCTGCCAGGGGTGAATGTGTTGAAACATTCTAGTTCCCTGTGATATTCAGTTCGTCACAACACCAGTTACCAATTGTTGTCAAGTGATATTCCGTGGAAATGACTGCTAGCAGTGTACTTTATGTTATTTCTTACTTTCCCGTTCATCTTATCCATGGTTTTTACATGGTTTTATTTTTGGTCTTTTTTCAACAACTAGAGAAGATAACATTTTATTGAGCCGTCTAAAAGACAGTGTGGAATTCTTCCATAAGGAATAATATGGTGCATGTGAATTGTTATCATCATATCACAAATTTGTCAAATTTAGATTTTCTACTTTTGTTGCTGGGCTGGAGTGATAGCACAGCGGGTAGGGCATTTGCCTTGCTGGCACAGCCTACCCGAGTTTGATTCCTCCCCCCCTCTCGGAGAGCCTGACAAGCTACCGAGAGTATCTCACCTGCATGGCAAAGCCTGGCAAGCTACCTGTGACGTATTGGATATGCCAAACATAGTAACAATTCTCACAATGTTACTGGGCCAGCTGGAGCAAATCGATGAACAATGGAAAGACAGTGACAGTGACAGTGACTTTTGTTACTGCTGCTGTTTGGTCCACATCTGGCTTTGCCATGAGCTACTCTTTGCTTTATTCTCAGAGCCTGCGCCTGGCATACTGGGGATCAAACCTTGGTGTTCTCCATTCAGTGCTCATCCCTTGAACTATCTTTCTGACCCATCCTGCTTTATAAAACCTGAAACCCAGCTGGGTGATTTCAGCTGTTACATAGTTTTCTTTTGACTCTGTTATCTCAGCTTCTCAAATTGATGGGTGCAAGAGTATTACTGTTCAGATATACTTTGATTTCATCAGTGAAATTTAGATAATGGATTGAAGATGTAGAATCCCTTTGAGTCTCTGGAGAGCAGTGCAGTGACTTTAAAAGACTTAAAAATAGCATTAAACTATGTTCCTTATTTTGGGGGCGGGATGTTGTTTTAAAGCTCATAATTTATCACTGTAGATTAATTATTTTACATAATTCAATCAATTGTGATGCTTATTTTTAATAATATCTTTTCTTTTTAATCCTAGATTAATTTCAGATGTAAACCAACATTTCGAGAAGGGGGCTCAAGATCACCAAGAGAAGTGAGTATTTCAGAATTCTAGTTCATATGTGGCCTAAAGTTTCCCATGGATTCATTAGATTCATAGCTATTCACCAAGATTAAAAAATTGTTTTTTTCTACTAACATCAGGGTTTTTTAAAAATTTGATTGAATCACCGGGAGATAGTTACAAGCTTTCATGTTTGGGTCACAATCACACAATGATCAAACACCCATCCCTCCTCCAGTGCACATTCCCCACCACCACTATCCCCAAGTAACACCCTTTCCCACCCTCCCCCTGCCTCCATGGCAGACAATATTCCTCAAACTCTCTCTCTACTTTTGGGCATTATGGTTTGCAATATAGACACTGAGAGCTTATCATATTTGCTCCTTTATCTCCTTTCTGCACAGATCTCCCATCCAGACTGGTTCCTCCAGCCATCTTTTTCTTAGTGATCCCTTCTCTATTCTAGCTGCCTTTTCCTCTTGCTCATGAGGCAGGCTTCCAGCTATGGAGCAATCTATCTGTCCCGTGTATCTATTGTCCTTAGGTGTCAGCCTCATGTTGTGTTGTTTCATACTCCACAAATGAGTGCAGTCTTTCTATGTCCATCCCTCTCTTTCTGAAAATTTCACTTAGCATGATACTCTCCATGTCTATCCATTTATAAGCAAAGTTCATGACTTCATCTCTCCTAACACTAACATCAGTTTTTAATAATAGTATGTCAGTAAACATAATTAATGTTTATGGTTCCATATGGCTTCAACATGTGTACTATGTACAAGAGGCTCACCCAATAAATCAGAGAATGTGGGAAGAAGGTAACAGAATTGAAGAGGTAAAACATATATGTGTGTATATATATATACACAACTGTATACATATATACAATATGTATATATATATATATACAACTATATACATAAAATACTATGCATATAGTAATATATATAGTTGTCTTTTAGTGAATTTATCTGTTTTTCAATTCTGAACTGGTGGAAGCTATTTATGAGACAGCATTGTCATGGAGTATTTCTATAAACACTTTGAATTAGACTCTCTGCTATCCAAATCAACTTGATATTTTCTGATTTGGGACATTTCACCTAAACTCATAGGAGATGTTCTAAATTGCAACAATTTCATCTGCATAGTAAATTAATTTGTTGTTACTGTGTTTGGCATATCAAATACTCTCGGTAGCTTGCCGGGCTCTCCGAGAGGGGCGGAGGAATCGAACTCGGGTCGGCCATGTTGGCCGCTTGTAAGGCGAACACCCTACCCGTTGTGCTATCGCTCCAGCCCTATGGGGAGTTGCATAATGGGCCAGTCTTTGATCTTCCAATCTGGTGGAGAAGACGCACAAATATCTAGGAAATGATATTGAAGTGAAGTCATTACTATGTTGGTGATAGCAGTGACAGCAGGGCACTGCACACAGACTTCTGTTTAGCGGAGACAGAGCACTCCAGGGGGGAAGTCAGAGAAGACAGGGGGCAGTTGGCAGATGTTTTCTGCCTTCCTCTGTGGTCCCAAATAACACTAGCTCCAGGCTTACAATTGTACTCCCTGGGCAGCAAGATAAAAGCCTATAATTAACAGACTCCATCCTCTTCAGCACTGCTCAGCTGTTACCCCTATGTGGCGCTCTCTGAGTGAGAAATGGTGCTGAATAGACTTGTGGTTGGCATACTTCTCCCTATCCCCAGTTCCATTTACATTCCCAGTGAGAGTACTCTGAATTGCAAGCATAGAATTTTACCCCCTTGGAAGCCTTCCCTGCTGGTACAACAGTCAAATGTAGCTCAGAGTACTAACCAATATGAGAGAGAGCAAGGATGTCAGAGAAGGGTCTCTTAGAAGAGGGTGCAACCAGCTGAGATACAAGGATGTGTGTTTTAGTGGAGGGGACTGACTCTTTAGGAGGTAAGTGAAGGTCTTCCGATGGGGAGAATGCCTTCACACAAGCACAAAAGTGAGAGAAGATGATGAGAGGGAAACTGACATCCAAGAGATGCCGGATCAAACCATGATGGTCCTTGTATAGCAGGTTAGGGTTGAGTGTTTTCTCACTCCAGTAATGGGACATAGCATTTTAAGCAGAATATATATTATTATATATATATATTTGTCTCCAGTGTGGAGGCAGCATCGTATATTTTAAGAATATCGATATTGCAGGCATGGGGAAAGTTTAAGAAGTCATTCTAGTAGTAGAGGCAGGAGTTAGTGGTGGTGATCCTGACTAAGTGATTCTGAAGATGGAGGAAAATTTAGCAGGTATAAATTTGAAGGAAACAAAATTCCTAGGATATAACAGTTACTTGCTTTTGGACACAAAGATGGAGGAACTCCTGGTATATAAAACATCTTCCCTGGAAAATGGATTAAATATTGGAAAACGATTTGAGTTGAGGATGAGGTGGGGAGGTAATGAGTTTAGTTATAGAATTCCCAAGTTTGGCATGTTTTCAGGCCTTCCAGTTAGAATTGTGTGAAAAACTGATTGTGTCTAAGAGTATGGAGCTTCTGAAGGAGATGAAGCTGGAGGTAAGACACTTGTGATCGTTAGAATGTCTCAGTTGTAGGTAAAGCAATGAAGATAAATGTGTGGGTGGAACAGGAGTAAGATATAAGAAACAGAGACATGTATTCTGTCTCATGTCACTATGCTGGCATTTTTGACAACAGTGACTGACAAGCAGACTGGAAAAGGCTGATCTTATTGTTAATAACTAATACAGGAGATTGGGAGACAACACGAAAAGAGAATAGATTGGGAATGGAGGCTACAGGGAGAGGAAACATGTTTTACTCTCTCAGCTGTTCTCTTTCTCTCTCCTTGTCCCTCATAGAGGCAGTAGGAGTATTATACATTAAATATAGGATGAGCAATGTCAAAGTGAAATGATAGTGTTGTGGGTATTCTCAAATTCATTGAGTGTGCTGTAAGAGTTGCCAGAATGATTACTCAGAGATAGCTCAAATGAAGGAGAAATTTATTTAGGACACTAAACAATAGTGTATTTTTAAGAAGGAATTTATGGATTCCTATCCATCTGGGGCATTTGTAGGCCTACTTTTAGCTCCCTGCTCCTTAATTTACCTCTCTCTGCCTATCTGTCTGTCTGTCTGTCTCTCTATCTCTGGGTAATTGTAATTGCAAGTGCATTTTTCACATGTGAGATTTTTGCTTTGTTGGTTGGTTTTCATGCGCTGTATCACTTATTTTCCTACATTTCAGCGTCCCCTGCTCCTTCTAGATTATTTCCATCAGCACGAACATGCTCTAATAACTCCTGTCTTGGAACAAACGAAAGTATTCCTTAAGCATCAACTGATCTTAACTGGTGCTCTGATTCTTACTTTCACTTTTACTGTTAAACATCCAGAAAATGTTGCCTGTATAAATTATTTCCAGGATGCTGCTCCCCCGTCATTTTAGCTTGTTCTGATCTGATATCTAATCTTTTCAGCCACTGATAAAAAGTTGTTTTCTTCTTACTGGTTCTCCCTTATGAGTTGCTAAATTCATGAGATATTTTTCTTTTCTTATCTGGTCCCTCATGTGTAACCAAAATACTCAACATTTCACTCTTGAAATGCTCTCTTGTCTTGATTTCTACAATGTATCTTTCTTCATTGTATTCATTATAAAAGGGTCCACAGGTCCCAAAATGTCTGAGGGATTTTGGTCTAAAATGACAATTAACAGAGAGAACTTAATACAGACTTTTTTGAGATTCTTGATTCAAAGATCTCAAGTAGTTTACTTAATATGAGAAAAAATGTAGTTACTTTAGATTTCAGTAGGTATGGGTTCATTGGACCTTTTTCTTCTTGGTAATGAATGTCCCCTAGAGCAGGCCATCCAGAGTTGGCCCAATTGATTCTTGCACACCCCATTTTGTTAAGAAGGTGTTAATGACATGGATTGACATACCCTAAGTTATGTCAACTTAGATAAAAACTTTATCTTTCATAGTACATGACATTTTGAGGTTCACTCATTCCTTTTTAAAAATGGAAATTATTATGTCTTAAAATTACTACATATTCTAATTATATATTTTTGCTCTTGAAGTATCAATCCTGAAATATGTTGTCTCTGAGATGTTAATGTCTGTAAGTATAGCCCTTTCCTTTGCAGTACTTAAAAGTAGTATATAAATAATTCAGAGATTATTGATGAACAATAAAAAAGTTACGGTGTTAGAAGCCTTTTTTGGTTAACAGCAGTATATCAACACTTACATTTGCATTATACGGCTCCTGAGTCTAATTTTAGTTCAGTAATTTAGAGGATAGGAATAATAGTCAAAAGGAAATGTAAGAGGGCCTGGAGAGGTAGTACAGTAGCTAGGGTGCTTGCTTTCTGCATGGCCAATCTGGGTTCAATCTTGGCATCACACACAATCCCCCAAGCACCTCCAGGAATGATGTAGAGCAAGGAGTAAGCCCTGAGCATCTTCAGGAGTTTTTTCCCCAAATACCCTCCCCCCTCCCCATACCACCAAAGGAAATGGTGTGAAAAACTAAAGTGCTTAGGGCATAGTGATTAGAAACGATTAGTAATTCTATAAGCTTGTTTCTTTTTTTTTAATTGAGACAACTGATGATTTTTTCGAATGGTACATGATTTAATTATATGAATATAAAAGAAACTAGATTGAGAGTGTTATTCAATTGAACACACATTTACTAGATGTTTATTTTGTTTAAATGATGCTTAAGCAACTGTTTGGATCAACATAAATTAGCCCAAGAAGACCTGAAGTGGAAAGTGCATTATCTCATGCCACAGAGCTACCAATAAGAGACAGTTACGCAGCATTTTCTCTAATATGGCATTTGTTTTCAGTCCCCTTATCCAAGTCTTAATTTCCTTAGCTCCCTCCCTGTTTCCCAGAAAGGATGACCTTAAAAATAGGTAACAACTCACAGGGTCATCTACAACACTCTTTAAATAAGCAACTTTGAAATGTTCTCTTTTATTTCCTCAGTAAATAATACTGTACTCTCCATCTGTTTATCAAACATTATTTGTTGAAGCACAAATGATTTCCAAGTCAATTATATAATTTATAAATAAGTACTGATTTGAGGGAATTGTTGGCTTACTATTTTGATCAGAGCTGTCACTAGCTCAGTAACCTCATGAGCCAACCATGATTTCATGGAGTTAATTGTACCAAATTCCTTCAGAATTTTCTTCCTTGAATTGAAAGTCATTAGGTGTTATCTAATCTCAAAAGGGAGAGAATCTTTCTTACCATCAGTGGTATTATTCATTCTCCTTTAGTTTCTGCTAAACAAATCGCAGTCATGCTAGATGATTCTGTCTCTTACAGTACTCTCTCTGACACTTTTATGTATTCAGTATTTCTACACTGGCTGTCTCTGGGATTGTGTTGAAGGAGCTTGAATTTTACTCTTGGTGCAGAAAGGCATAGACCAGTGGCCAATAGAGCTGGCCAAACTCCGGGGTTGCATTCCTTGTCCTTTCCCTCACATTCAAAGTGACTACTCCATCCCTTGGTTAATTTGCTAGAAAGAAAAGAAGACTATGATGGGAGTTCAAAAGTCTTCTGATAATGTGCCCTCCACAGCGTGAGTCAGGTATAATATAATGGCGGCTGGCTCCAGTATTCCCAGTGCTCATTCTGAAGCAGGCAGTGGGTTAAAGTTCTTCTCATGTGAGCAGGTAGAAAGCTGAGGGTGAATCTCACATCACTCGTGAAGTGGGAAGGTGGAATTGCCAGGATCTTGGTCCTCAGTACATTTTTTACAACTTGCCAATAGCATGGATACTGATAATGGTGCAGGTTCCTGGACCTGTTATCATTTTCCTGAGAACCAGAGACAACCACAGGACCCAGAATTGCTCATATTCAAGTCTGCCCAGAGAACCATCAACAGTTGGGTCCATTCCAGCCTTTTTTTTTTTTTGCTAGAAAAACCCTGTTGTCAGTGCTTGAATGAAGTTGCTTATTTGTTTACTTATTTTTTTAAGAGAGAGCATTGATGCAGAATTGGCATTATAGTTGCTTAATTGTGAAGAGGTGAAAATGGTCTCCAATATTATAAAGCAGAGGGCATTGGGGGAAAGGCAAAAATGACAAGGAGGAAACAGGAATTAAAGATACTAAATGTCACTTTGCTGACCAATATAAAGTATTCCAGTATGTTTAGCTATTCATGGGACTTCACTGGTACATGTTCACTGAACAGTATCTCTACTCCTAACATTTCTCATGAAAATAAACAGAATGATTAAGGTAAAATATTTAAAAAGCACATGATATGCAGTACTCAGAAAATGCTGATTGGCTATTACAAGTTCCTTTCTGAAGAATAGACAAGGGGGCAGGAGAGATAGTAAAGTGGACAGGGCACTTGTCTTGCAATGTGGCCCACCCAGGCATCCCACATGGTCCCCTGAGCCCCACCAGGACTGAGCCCTGAGAGCAGTGTCAGGAGTAAGTCCTGAGCCCTGCTGGGTATGGCCCCCAAACAAAGACAAACAAAACAAGGAAAGGTAAGAATTTTGTCCTATTTCATTGAAATGTCAAAGTGGGAAAAGCAAGACCAAATTTAGAATCATTGGTAGGATCATTCTGCTTCTTCACAGCTTGTTATTGTCTTAAGAGCAGCCATGGATCCTGTAGGATCCTTGCTTTGTTTTAATTTCAACAAGTTTGACAACAGGTGAAAAAATAGATTCCATCAATTCTGGAATTGATGCTTGTTTGAGGGATTCTTTTTTTTCTTCTTATGTTTATTTATTGAATCACTGTGGGAAAAATTACTAAGCTTTCAGGTTTAAGTCTCAGTATACAATGATCAAACACCTTTCCCTACACCAGTACTCATTTTTCACTACCAAGAACCCCAATATGCCCCCCTCCCCTCCCAATGCCTGTGAGGCAGATGATTTCCATTTAACTCTTCTCTACATTGATTACATTCATTATTTCGACAAAAGATGCACCATTATTGTTTAGAATTACCACCCCCCCCAACAATCAGAATTGTTGGAAAGGCATTGTGAAATACTTTGTTTTCTATAGCTGGTTATGAGAATCATATAATGTTGTGCGGCCACAATAGCGGCTGTGCAATTTTGGATTTCTGCAAAGAGCCAGATAATTATGAGATTTGTTTCTGTGCAACTGGTGTTATGGCTGTGCCGAAGAGCCACTCGTGACCTTGGTAGGGCGTGAAGGACGAGCCGGTACCACCCCCACCCCCCCTTCCCATGAGACTGCAGTTGCCCCATCACTGCTGGCTCATACCTGGCTTTCCAATAAGCTCTGAGGCGGAGGCCACCTTATATGTGATCCAAATGCATTTCTGCCAAAAGCCGCTGGCTTTCGAGATTTGTTTCTGAGTCTCTGGGATCATGGCCATAAATCAGCTCAATCAGGAGCCAGAGAGGCCATTTGTAGGTGGCGACTTGGGGTCTTGCTGGGATGGGGAGGAAAGGGCTGGTTCCACCACCATCTGGTGAGGCCCCACGTATCTCATCACTGCAGGCCCAAACATGACTGTCCAGTGGCCTCTGAAGGATGGTGGTCACCGGACCACCAAGGGGAACAGGCCAAGGCATGAAACCTATTCCCACCTGGAGTGATCCAGTGCCAGTAATCTACTGCAAGAACATATTTCTGCCAAAAGCCTTTGGGTTCCGAGATTCGTTTCCGAGTCTCTGGGATTATGGCCATTAAGCAGTTCCATCAGGAACCAGAGAGGCCATGCCTCCCATTATATAGCTGAGCCGGAGGTGGTTTGTGAGTGTGTCTCCCACTTACTAACTTTTGGCCATTTACTTTCTGGTAAACTTTGCCCCAAGTTTTTGGGGTCTGGCCAAAGGCAAAGCAGCAATTTTAGGGTATCTGAAAGTCTGATGGTGCCATCAGACTGCTGATGCACTCACCTCACAGGTACAGATTTACCTCATTTACCCATGAGCCCTGCTAGGATAGATCCTGAGTGCAGAGTCAGGAAGAATCCATGAGCACGACCAGGTGTGTAACCTCTATGGTGCTGGTGGCACCATACCCCCATGTTTGAGGGATTCTTGTCACTGAATTTCACACCCTTAATGTGACCTTCCAATTCTCCCCCCGCTCCCCCAAATTAGATGGACATGTTTTATTTACCTGTGCATTTAGATCACTGGCAGATAGTAGGCATTTCATAAGTGTTTCATGAATGCCGAAGTTTGTATTAAAGGGCCTTTTAAAGGAAAAGCATAGGTTGTGATTTGATGATAATATATGTATTCTGATGATTCGTACTTTCTCAGGAAAAGGCAAAGAGCATTATGGAGTATTGTAGCATTGGTCTTAGAGGTGCATTGACTTACTAGGGTTTAACTGCATCCATAGGCCTGAGAAGGAAAGGTACATTTCCCTTTGATTTTATTCAAGGTGTGAGTGCTAATTTGTGGGGAAAGCTTTCTTTCTGGGTTTTTTATAGTTCAATATAGGCCTCCCATGAGCCCTGCTAGGATAGATCCTGAGTGCAGAGTCAGGAAGAATCCTTGAGCACGACCAGGTGTGTAACCTCTAAAACAATGGATTCCCAAGCTGATCTAGTTTAGTGTACTGAAGGGTTGTTTAATGCAATATCGCAGCAAAAATCTCACTTCACCGATATGCCCACATGTCTCTCATCCGGGTCATCTCTACTTTAAACTTTTCATCACCGTGTATATCCTGAATCAGCAGATCAAATTCTTTTTGAGAAATTCATTTTCTTCCATTCTTTACAGCCAAAATGCTTAGGATATAGCAGCTGTTATAGAACATTACACTGGGAATAGTGACTTCTGCTTCTCTCTTCCATTTTTCACTTCCCTGGAGTTATTTCTGTTACCTGCTTCAAGACCTTCCTAGCCCTTGGTGCTCTGACAAAGTTTCACACATCTGCACAGGGTTTTTCTAGGAAGACAGTCGAGTCACAGCATTCTGAGTTGGCTCTTGCAATTAGGAAGACCCAGAGGGAGGGAGAATGTTTGGGTTTATGCAAAGAAGAAAAGTCCCGAGGATGGGGGGTGGAGGGTAGGATGAAGGGGTAGGTGCTTTCTACTTATTGGATTCATGTTGATTGTTAAGCAAATCATATCAATGCATTTTGGGTTTTGTGTCAATACAGGTTTAGATAATGATTTACAGAAAACCTCTATACTCAGAAAGCCTTAACAGTGCTAATCTTGGGCTTTGCAAATACAAACATATTCATTCACTTTGTTTTCCCGCAGAACTTTGTGCGTCATCACTGGGTGCACAGGCGTCGGCAGGACGGAAAATGTAAGCAGTGTGGTAAGGTAAGGGGCACAGCAGCCCACAGCCACCCAAGAAGGCTCCTTGTGCCTTTGCAGGCACCTGAAGTAGTTGAGACCGGTCACCTTGATTCAATGCTCAGTATGTTGCTTCCTATTCCAAAGGCCTTGTTTCACCAGATTCTCTCTCCTAAGAGAGGGCATGAGTGATTCCAGAAGTCACTGCAAGACACTGAGTCTTATATGATGAAGCAGCATGCGTTAGGGGAAATGGATACGTTTTGACATTGAATTGCACAGTTGTTTAAAAGGAACACTCAGGATTTTGTTAAAAGTCCCTCTAGAGGACCACTGGTCCACCATACTTCTTCAGTCAGCAGCATAAAATCAATGGGTATTTGAGCACCACTAGTTTTGTTGATATATTAACGTCCTTGGGCAGATCTGGGTAGAAGAAGCAAGAAATGTGTTTTCTGAGGATGCAACCCAGTTCCTGAAAAGAGGTGCCTTTCTTATAAGTAGTTAGTTATGTCTATGTTCTCTTAGCATGACTAGGTATAGGTACATGTGAAAAGATGAGTTAGTGGGGCTGGAGTAATAGTACAGCGGGTCGGGCATTTGCCTTGCATGTGGCCAACCTGGCTTCAATCCCCAGCATCCCATATGGTCCCCCATGCACCGCCAGGGGTAATTCCTGAGGGCAGAGCCAGGAGAAACCTCTGAGCATCGCTGGGTGTGACCCAAAAAATAAAAAAATAAATAAAATTATAAAAGCAGAAAAGAAAAGAAAAAGTGAGTTAGCAGTCTATGTCATTGTGATTTGAAATTGTAAATTGATCCCAACAGATTTGGGTTGTGGTTTTCCCCTTCAATGTACAAAGATCTACTTAGGAATGGAAGGATCCTCTAGGAATTTTGAACTGGTCTTGAATCACATTATAAGTATTATATATATATAACCTATAGAACAGTGTCAACAATAAGTTGACATGTCTCAGTAAAGGAATGTTTTTATTTGGATAAGAACAAAATAATTTGGGAGAATATACTCCTTATTAACGAATAGACAATTTATCTGTCCACTCATGTTTCTTGGGATGGAGCTATAGCACAGCGGTAGGACGTTTGCCTTGCACGTGCCAACATGGCTGACTCGAGTTCGATTTCTCTGCCCCTCTCGGAGAGCCCAGCAAGCTACCGAGAGTATCTCGTCTTCACAGCAAAGCCTGGCAAGCTCCCCGTGACGTATTCGATATGCCAAACACAGTAACAAGTCTCACGATGAAGATGTTACTGGGTCTGCTTGAGCAAATTAATGCACAACGGGAGGACAGTGACAGTGACTCATGTTACTTCTTTGCGCTAAGTACTATGGGATGAGCTGATCAATATGACATATTTGATAATCAGATACAGGGAGATAGGGTGCTGAGAAGCCGTGAAACTTTGAACATGTTATGTCAATTTTTGCATCATGCCCAGGGCCTGGAAAGAACATATCATACTGATGTAGTTGAGACCAGTCACCTTGAGTCAATGCTCAGTATGTTGGGATTAGCACGTGATTAACTTGTGATTAGCATGTGCTTCTTTGGAAAAGGCTACACATCCATCTCCAGGCCTGGCACTACAATGAGCATTGTAACTACTAGTCCGACTCAGGAACTAGAGTGAACTTCACTGGCCTATGAAAAGGACAGATGAAGTAGACTGGGAGGATGTTAAAAAAATAGCAAAAAAAGAGGAATCAGGGAGTACAAAGCTACCAATTACTTTCCAGGGCTTCGACATATGCAATTGACTCTACTCCCACCTGGTCTTCCTTCACTGGGCCCGTGAGCTCCTTTTCATGAGGCTTGTGAAAGTTTTTATTTCTTCTTAGATTGTAGATCATCTACAACCCAATCCTCCCATAAGAGTGTGTGTGTGTGTGTGTGTGTGTGTGTGTGTGTGTGTGTGTGTGTGTAAGAGAGAAGAACAAATGGGCACAGCCAGTTTTGAGATCAGAGAAGTGATTAGTAGGAAGGACCTGAATGGACAGATTCCTTGCTTTGAAAAGTATCTTCACTAAACAGTCTCATAACTGCCACTACCTCAACCGCTTCCAAGCTATAATGGAGTCGGAGTAATTTTATTAAAAGGAAATCAATAAGCATTTATATTTGTGACAAGTATTCCCTGGTGTGCGCTTTTTCTCCTTTCCTGGCCTTGTCTTCGGTTGCAGTGTCAACTGAGTGAGCAGGGGAGTGTGCCCAGGTAGCCATCAGGCAGTGCCCACAGGGCTCTGCTCACACAATCTTCCTGTAATATTATATGGTTTCATTCTCTTCCAGTATTTGTAGCCCAGCTGCTTACAAATTCTAGCGACCCAAGCAATGAGGACATGAGAGGGTCTTAGATCTGTGTCTTATTGCTGGGCCATCAATAACGCTACTGTAGATCCTGGCTTTTATCCTGGTTTAGAGGAAGGCTAATAAGCCTATTTCATTTTCAGAGTATGTGAAACTTTGGTACTTCATTTCAAACTTTGGTACTCTTCATAATTTTCATCAGTAAGGTTGCATGCATTCTTATGTAGTATAGGAAATTTCCCAACTGTTCTTTATCACAACCTCACCAACCTAGAAACATTATCTATAATTTACCCCTTTGGATATGGTTTTAAAAAATTCAGTTAGCAAAACTTTTATCTAATTGGTGGCTTATGAATTTATATGTTTCTAGGGAGTGTTTATAGTTGAGAAGTGCTTGAGATTTCAATTTTCTAGTTTTTTGAAAAATTAAGGTACCATTATTTAATAGATTATTGATTTTAGGTATATAGGCATATATCAATATCTTTAAGTGCTACATTATATTCATCACCAAAGCTATAGTTTGTAGGATCATACAATTGAATCATTTTACCAACTTAGATATCCCCTTTTAAATTAAAACATATATTAATTTACCTTTTAAATTAAAACATAGATTTAAGCCTTTGGGTTGATTTAAGCCTTAAATCTGAGAGCATGAGAGAATTTGGGAGAGACCCAGTGAAGGAAGATCTTGGGAGGATTCGGCAGAGCATCTGTGGCTTTTAACTTGTCTCAGATAAGTGATTTGTGATTCGATAACGCAGTTGCTTCACCGTTCATCAGTATCGCAGGCTGGCTGCTCTGTTTAAAACCATTGCATAGTTTACTTCCTCCCCCTTCCCATAGTGCCATATTATGTAAATGTAAAATCCAGGCAGAAAAGAGATGGCAATGAGAATAATGCCCAGATTATTTTAGCAGAGTTGATGAAAAACACCAGGTGAAACAATCTGAGGCTATTAACAGTAGAAAACTTTGGCCAAGCCAACTTCGCAGAGGCAAGGGGATGGAGAGAGAATCCCTCACAGGAATTCCCATCATTAAGCACCAGACCCCACCAGCCCAACATGACCTACCTCCCAGGGGAATTCGTTTCTCAACATTACTGACCTTCAATATCCAGTTGCCTGACCCCAAAGATGACAGATCATGGTGTAGATACAATCCATAAAAAAGCAACTTTTACCATGGACAGACAGATACAGAAAGTGGATTCAAAGAAGCATTGGAATAGGTCTATCCATGTTGTTTAATGTGAAGCTATTCAATCTGTGCTTCAAGTTAGATGTGTGCTTGTTCTTTCTCTTACTGATTGACTTTGACTAAATTTTCAAACTATGTTCTTTCAATCAAAATTCATTCAACACCAAGTTGTTCTTAGTATTTTAAAAAAACCAATAGGGAAGAAAAATTATAGTCATGATCACGGCTAATCTGAACTTTTGTTTTTGAGGGAACCAAATTTTCAAACCCAGCAGTGGAGTAATTGTGGACATGTGCATATAAATAACAATTTAAAACCTATCTTTTAATTACCTTCATTTGGAAACATATGTCGAAGTTATAAAAATAAACACACTTTTTGAAATGCAAAATTCTATATCTTCAAATCTTTGAAAGCCATTTTTAATACAGCACATGCTTAAATTTCGGTTCTGCATCTTTGATAACTAGTTTTGTCTATAAATCTGGTGTTGTTTCATATGTAATTCATTTAAACTGTATATAGCATAAATTAAATGGAAGAAATACAGAACTACTCCTTATTATAATTAATGATGTTAGATACTTATTTAAAATGAACTTATGGTACAGTGTTTAAACTATACACATTCAATCACTTAATCACTTAATCACTTAACTTCCCGTTAGTCGTCGATTTGCTCGAGCGGGTGCCAGTAACGTCTCCATTTGTCCCTGTTGCTTACTAGTGTAGCCCAAAGGCATCTGTTTGCTCCGGGAACATGAAGGGCCTCAAACCGATCGTTCATGATCTTCAGGAAGAAGTCTGACCATCTGGTAGGTGGGCGGCCACGCGTTCTCTTGACATTCCGTGGAATCCAATCAGTAACAGCTCTAGTCCAACGGTCGTCTTTAAATCTCATTACGTGACCAGCCCATCTGATTTTCGACACCTTGGCAAATGAGACAGCGTCCCTGATCCTTGATCGTCGACGGATGTCAGAACTCCGGATTCTTTCTCTCAATTGAGTGAAACGTGATATTCCAAGCATAGCTCTTTCTATTCTTCTTTGGGAGACCTGAATGGCGTTCTCATCTTGTTTGCGTAGGGCCCAGGTCTCTGAGGCATATGTTAATGCAGGAAGAACAGTGGAATCAAAGAGATGTGCCCGGAGCCGGAGGTTCTTCGTCCTCTTAGCTATTTCTTTGACGTTCTTGAAGGTGTTCCAAGCCGCTCTCTTCCTCCTGCGCAGCTCGGGTGCCAGGTCATTTGTCATGTTGACCTCTCTACCTAGGTACACATAGCTGTTGCATTCGGAGATGGTCGTTCTATTGAGAGTGAATGGGGCGTCAGGAACAAGGCTGTTTCTCATAAACATTGTCTTCGTAAGATTCAGCTGTAGTCCTACCTTTCCACACTCACAGTCAAAGTCGACCAGCATTTGTGCCGCTTGGCTGATGTTTGGTGTTATTAAAACAATGTCATCAGCAAAGTGGAGGTGGTGT